TTCAAGCAGCAGGTGTGCACGTCATCTTCAAGCAGCAGGTGTGCACGTCCTCTTCAAGGGACATTCAGAACGTTTCATTAATGCCTGTTCAATGATCCATAACATTTAGGCTCAAACAGGCAGATTGGATTCTAGCAGCTGCTTTGGAAAGTTTATAACTCGACTACTCTTCTAGTTCTAGCCATGTTTGTGCTGCCTAATGTTGATTAGATGTGGCGGCCATTTTGAAAAGGATTAATTCCAAATGTTATGTGTACAGGTCAATCCAGAGAATATTCTCGAAAGTTTTATTCAGTTTTATTCTGTGATTCATCAGCTTTCTAGCTAATTGAGCACATGCATACACGCGCACGTTCTTGTAAACATGCTTTTTGGGGACTTTGCATTGACTTCCATTCATTTTCTATAACCTGACCCTAAACCTAATCCCTGACCCCCTGAGACTTCTCCTTATGGGGACCTGGCTTTGGTCCCACAGTGCATGATTTTTTGTAAAATTGGTCCCTACAAGGTAACCTCACACACACACACACGCAGGCGCGCGTGCGCACAGCATCAAAAACACTCATCGTTTCACCTTCAGAGCTGCAATAACCAAAGAATGCAGAAACATTTCATATCAGCTTTTATTACAATCAAAAATATTTTAAGTGCTTTAAATGTGTCAGATGAAGGTGCTTGTTTAGTAAAATGAAAATATTTCAAATACATTTTTACATCAAATGAACAGTGAAATCATCCAACTCAAAACCCAGTGACAATGTTCTGTCAAGGTGACATTTAGGCTCCGCCCAGTTCAGGTGCAACACTGCAGTTTGGGATGAAGCTGTTTTCACCTGATTCTGTTCCAGAACCAGATGCAAAAACTGTTCACACAATCATGTGTTCATCTGCACACGAGCTTCGTTATGAAGGACCGCACACATCTGGCACATCAGAACATGTGTGAGCTCAAGAAACAAACTGTTCACGTCTCATCAAACCATCAACTTTCATTAACAAAGGGTTATTCAAGTGGGTTATTTCTTTCAGAAATGTTTATTTTATTATATTTTAGACACATCAGTCGTGTATTTTATATTTTAAAATAGAACTTCATTAAAATATTGGGGTTTTTAAAAAACTTTCTTGCAGAACTGTCCTGTGGAAAAAAAGACTCATCGCTCAATTAAAGAAAAAACAAAAAACGAGTCTTTAGGTTCTGTTGTTGTTTGTTTGTTTGTTTGTTTGTTTGTTCTGGAACATGATTGGCTCTTCAGAGATTGAAAGTTTTGATCATCTTATTTTCTCCATATTACCCTTTTCTACAAAACCTGCATTTATTTGTTGCAGATGAGCAGATGTTGCTGCACCAGTTCTGTGATTTTTAGTTTTAAATGACAAACTGACCGTTTCTTATTGATCAGTTTTTGTTTCAATATCTAAGATAAACAAGTAAAAATAAATGTATTTCCCCAACTTTTTAAATGACAGCCTCAGGCTAACTTTTGATAAAATGACACAGCTTTGCTGTTCCTTTCAGTGTCGTGACTTGTGCCATCGAATGATGGTGTGTTCTGTTAGTCTAGTAAAAAGATGTTCTACTTCACTGCGCGCACACACTCCGTCATAAGACTACATGTTCATGCATCTGGTTTCTGGTGTTTCCCTGCAGAGACCCAACAGCACGTGGACAAGTTTTCAACTTGCACGGCTTTCCCTCGTCTTTTTTACAGCGCACACACTCTTTAGCTGTTTATATACTATAGCTACAGATTGCATCTTCTTAAGTGCTGAATAATTGTGCATTTAAAGCTTTTCTGTATAACAAGGGTTTGTAAACGCACCATGAAAATGTATAAAGTCTCAATATATTGAATCATGTGTCATTAGAAATGACAACACTCGGATAAATGTGTTTTTGCACCTTTCAGAGGAACTTGTTGCTGTTCACAAAACGTCCCCTAAACTAAAATCGGTATAGGTATGTGAATATTACAAGAAAGCTGATAATGTACATGAGTTGAAGGCAGCCACATGATAACCAGCACATCTGATATTCTGTGCTGTTGAAACTAGAGCCTGACCGATATATCTGTAGGGCCAATATTTTAGGCCGATATAGACGTTGGGGGACCTGTCGGTATCGGTGATAGTTTCATAATGCGCAGATGTAAACACTTCAAATTTTCACTCCTAACATGCTGGACCCAGCCGTAATTGTACAATGTATCCAGCAGAGGGCGCATGAAGACAACTTTCAAGCCATGGCCGTTCACTTTAAGTTTCACTTTCACATTCAGCGCAGCCGAAGCAGTGAGCGATACTCTGTAGTGCATTTTTCTGAACAGAGCATGTTAAGTTTATTTTAACTGAGTTGTAAAATCAACAATAATAAATTCTCCAATCCTCCAACCTGCTTGTCATTAGCGACGTTTTTTTTTTTCATTTAGCCTTTATTTATCCAGGTTAGTCTCATTGAGCCACGAGAACTCATTTTCAAGAGAGACCTGTTTAGGGAGCACATGGTGGGGGTTAAGGGCCTTGCTCATGGGCCCAGAGTGGGGCGAATGAGGGTGGGGGCAAGTGTGGGTGTTTCACCTACCCCACCCACAATTTTTTTGATGTTGTCGGGGCCGGGGCGTGAACTGGCGATCTTCGGATCACAAGCCCACCTCTCTAACTTCTGCGCCACCACTCCCCTTGAGACGTGACTCTCAAGTTAGCAAGCTAACGTTTAGAAAACCTAGCATAGGCTATTGTCTTGTAAAACTTTATCCAGAACAATAAATCTAACATAGAGGTATATATATATATATCAGTGATAGTAACGTTGTCTTTGTCGCCCCAGTGAAATGCTTTGTTTGTCTGAAATCTTAACTTTTCTACAAACAAAAATAAACTCTGTTGTGGTCAGTACTAACTAGACCTTCACCATACATGAGTGACAGTGTAAAGAATTAACAGGGAAGGGCGTTTGTTTAATTTATATTTTTGTAACACACTTGATAATTTTATGGTGAATAGTGGAGGATAGAAAATGTGAACGCACGTTGGGAAGACTGGTTTTATGACCAGTGCACCACTTGTAAACCTGTGGGACTACGTATAGGTGGATCTGATTAGCTTAGCTTCATGGTTGCTAACAGCTGTGCTAAACAAACAAGCCCCGCTCCACTAGCTGTTTTAGATTCTTGGGTGTGGACAAAGCTCAAATTAATTCAGCCATTATATCTGTTATCCACAGTTGCCTTCCCCTCCCAGTATCTGTATGGGCAATAGCCAAAATGTCCCTATCGGTCGGGCTCTAGTAAAACACACATTCTGTTGTGTTGGGATGGGGGATTGGAAGGTCGGAGCGATGTGTTCCTGGGTTGTTTCCCTTTGTTCCCCATCACATATTGGTGGGCATTAAAAGGCAGTGCTCTGTATCATCCCATAGGCCTCGTACAGTCTGCTGAGGAGCTCCTCTTTCTCCTTTTCAGGCAGGAAGGACGACTCTGCAGATCTGATGTTCTGAAAAACAAAAAGTCAACACAGTTTCCAGTCAAGAGCTGCTACGTAGTTTGTTATTAAATGTCTTTAAAGATGTACTACATAATAATTTATGAATGTTTTCACATTAACCAGAGTAAACATCAAGTGGCAAAGGAGTTTAGAACCTCAACAACCAGTCCAGTGGTTTCTCTGTGCTGTGGGGGAACAACTTCCTGTCTCCATATCAAACTATTTCTGTCCTGCCAGCAGTGATGTAGATCAGGATTAGAGTGACTCTTTGAGGGCAACTAAATGTATTAATATAAAAAAGTGTTCACTTTTTACTGGATTAATTAACAAATCATGGGAAAACAAATCATCTGGTTTTCTTCAACATGACAGACCAAAACAACTCTGTCATTACTGCAGATGAGGCTCTGATTCATCAGTCCATTTCACGCTACATCCTCCCATCACTTGTAAACAAGAAGTCACTTAAATCTGTGAAAGTGTTGTGTAACGGCCGCTGATTTCATTCATTCCACCTTTATTCCTACAGGTTAGTCCCACTGAGCCGAGGACTCGTTTACAAGAGAGACCTGATTTTAACAGAGTGATGACAACAGTGGACAACGACAACAATAGACAGTCATAAAATGAATGAGAAGTGAGTTGAGAAGACTAAATGAAGGAAAGTGACATTAAAAATAAACTAAACTAAAACCGCTGGATTGTAAGGCGATATAAAATACTAAAAACAGGAACATGTCTGCGTTGGTTGTTGCCAGGAACTTAGCAGATGTTTGAAGCCACTTGGAGAGGTCAAGGTCGAGAGCGTCAGGTCTTTTGCAAGGTGTTCCAGGAAACAGGAGCTGATTTAATGAGCACCTCTATAAATGTTGACGATTGTTCCGTTTGCTGCTCTAACGCATACATACAGCATGCACAATGCCGAGACGTAAAGCCATCAGCATTGACCTGATAGAAGAAACTGCTGCTGTCCATCAGTCTGGAAAAGGTTAAAGGTCATTTCCAAACTGTTTGGAGATCATAATTCAACAGAGTAACAAAAACTTGCCGTGCTTGCCAGCAGTGGACATGCTCACCCCAAGGTCAGACCATGCAATATTCAGAGAAATGAACCAAGAGCTCCATCTTGGACTACAAGACTCAACTAGCAGGTTAAAGGTTAAAGTCCATGTCATTAAAGAAAGGCTAACAAAAAGACTTGTTTGGAAGTGTTAGTAAAATAATCTCTTTAGGACGAGCATGTTGGCACAGCTTACCAGCAACATTACAACTGAACAAACACGTCTGGAACAACGTCGTTTGGTTCCGATCACCAAGAGCTAAAGGTTCGGCTGCTGACTTATCGAGTGTACTTGGTTTTTAAACACTCTTCCTACATTTGAGTTGCTCTTGTGATAGAAAACAAATCACAGCAAATGGTAAGAGATCAGGTGTTAATGTGAAGGCTCGTCAATGGCGACCTGATCAGAACAGGTTTGGTGTGTTTGTTTGTTTGTTTGTTGGTTGTGTTTGTTTAAAAACTGAACTTTGAGTCTAAAAATCATGTGAATCTTATTCCTCTGCCCCAGTGGAGACTTGTAGCAGGACGCACTCCACGGCCTGTCACCGTCCAGAGGGTTATGGAAGAGAGCCCTCTGGTGGACTTCCATGGTCCAGCTGAGTGAGTTGGAGGGACATGGGGGCAACAAGTTGAACCTCATGTTTTGTTTTTTTTATTTGTCACCATCAGTAAAGAAACGTTCAACTCTCCGAGTCACTGACACACAACTGTGTCCCAAACAAGCGACACGTTGTAGTGCAGCTGCTCAGTGATGGTAAGATCCAAGCAAGTGGCCTCTGAGCTGCACACGTTGCTCCTCCCAGTAATCAACACGATGATCTGCTCTGTAGCTGACGTCCAAACGAACCATGTTTTCTTCTTTATAATACACAGTATTAAAGGCCTAACATTTATTAAAGGATCGCCATCTTTCCTGCCAGTTTTAAATAAAAACGTTCAACCTGTTGCAGCTGTAGTGAAAGCTGGAGCCTAGCAGGAAGCGCAGTGTGATGAGAAGCTGCGAGCTGTTGGAGCTCCGCGTTAATTACACATCTCGTGACTTGTGTCGTCACTGTGTTACTCAGTTAGGAGGACTCTTATCTGCTGGCACCATTTTTCAAAGTGGGGGCCGCCAAGGGGAGCTAGTGGGGCCTCAGAAAGCTGGAGAGAAGAAGATAAAACGAAAAGCAAAAATAAAAATAGTAATAATAATAATGAAAACTGCCCACAAGGGCAATCTGCAGATAAACAGTCTGAGAGAGAGAGAGAGTTCAACATGTTCAGTACAAAAACAACTGGACTTTATTTGTAACAGAAGACGTTTCCACCTCAACGTCTTCTGTTACAAATAAAGTCCAGTTGTTTTTGTACTGGACATGTTGAATCATCATGTCCTGGATGACCAGCATTTGGAGAGAGAGGGTAGATTTCTTTACTTTGTTCTTCTGGTCAACAGTTTGTTGAAAAGTTGTTTTTTAGTGGGAATATGTTTAAAACACGTTGGTTAATATTGTAATGCTCAGCAGCTGTGATAATTAATGGACTATAGTAAATAAAAGTTAAAACATTCTCAAAGTCGATGTTTCTTTACATATTTTGTAGCATTGTGTGTGTGTGTGTGTGTGTGGGGGGGGGGGGGGGGGGGGCTCGACCAGGAGCTAATGCTGTTTGGGGGCCATGGCATGGAAAAGTTTGGGAACCCCTACTAGCACAGCAGATATGTGTCAAAGTGACTGGTTAAACTGGTTGAGTTATTTCTGTGTGTGCTAAGGTTGCTCGCATGAAGAGTCACTGTTGAGCTTTGAGTGACGACGTGACAAATGATTTGACACAAAGCAGCTACACACACGCGCCTGTGAACCCTCAAGTTAAACAAAGATACCCAGATCAGGGCAGTCGTCTTCTCTGCACCAGTGCTAACATCAACTGGACATCTGGAGCGGAGAAAGGAACCCTACTGGAGGTTCTGCTGGTTTCTGTCAGAATCAGTGTAAATGTCACCTGTTCTGGTCAGGGAGGGGGTTTCCACACTGGTGTAACAACAAAGGTCTAAAGGTGAATCCCTGACCTTTGGTCGTGCTGCGGGGCTCATTGTGTTACGGCTGCAGCAGGCTCTTCATGTTGTTTCCTCATCGTTATCTGGTTTCTACTAACTTGGCAAAAAAGTCATTCGTACAACAAATGATTCTCTATGATCTTGAAGTAAAAGGGCAATCATGTTTTTGCCTGTGTCAGTGTGAGTGTTAGTCAAAATCTCATCAACACTGGACATTTTTAATGAAACTCACAGATATTACTCATTGGATCGAGGTTTCAGAGTCCACTCAATTCAAGATGGCCACTAACAAATGGTAAATGGACTGTACTTATACAGCACCTTTCTATCTTATTTCTAGATACTCAAAGCTCTTTACAACAATCTGTGCCTCATGTACCCATTCATACAGCTCTATACTAGATCTCTACAAAGATAACTGAACAAATCATTCTAATGAGACTAATCAGAGCTTTATCACATTCATGCACTGATGGGACACACATCAGAGACTGAGGGGTTCAGAGTCTTGCACAGGGACACTTCGACATGTGACTGCTGGTGGATTTGAACCCCCAACTCTCGCATTGAGGACGACTGCTCTAACCACTGAGCCACAGCCGCCCCAATCTTTGTCAGTTTTCTAATACTCATCTACATCTGGTGTTTAAATGTTTGCCCTACAGGGATAGTTCTGATAGTTATCAATAATTAGAGCCTCGTCAGCCGTGACATCAGTCATGGATGTAGACTAATGTCTTGTCAAACAAGTGCCGTGTTTTTTTAAAGTTCAGCCAATTTGATCACATTATTTGTTCTCCAAACAACAAACCTGCGTGAAACGCTACATTCAAACTCTAATTTTTGTTTAGTTTGTTGCCGTTTTCTCATCTGGACAACATTCGTGTTCTTCACAAATGTTCGCGTGCTGACCTCAGATTGACTTTACATGCTGCTGGTGCCGAGCTGATGGTGCAGTCTGATCAGTGTCTGCTCAACGCACCCTCAGGGCGGACTAACAACTTCCTTGGCATGAACACGGTCTGTCTCTGTTCAGCAGTGCTGCCAGATAAACAATAACTACGGACAAACACAGTCATTTAAAAGTCTATATTTATTTATTAACTGTTACAGTCAACTCTGTCCTCCTGTTAGCATAATATCTCATGAACCATTGGATGGATTTTAGCAAAACTTTCAAATGGTAACCAGTGTTTGTACGTCTGCAAATAACTGACTTCTGTAATTCAATTCAGTTTATTTAAATAGCGCCAAATCACAACAAAGTTGTCTCAGGGCACTCTACAAGTCACCCCTTTTCAAGATGGCCGCCACAGCTAATCCAGCTTAGCCTACACAAAAGTATCTATAACGGTCAGTCCAGGGCCGGACCAGTCCTCCATGGGGCCCTAAGCAAAATTTGGTTTGGGTCCCTCTATTTCTGCTAATAATGTGGATTACTGCAATCAACAGTCAGATGATCGGATCATTCATCACCTAACATGAACTCATTGCAACTCTACAAAATAAACACCAGTATGAAGTGTATTTTACAGCAAAAGTGTCATCTTGTTCATTATCTCTGTTTCCAAAGAACTGCAACAGTAATGTTCAAAATAATTTGTAATGCAAGATCAACAACAAACAGATAAAATAACTTAGATGCATAAAAATAAAATAAATTGTGCAAAAAGAGACTAAAAAAATTAAATATCAAGGAAATACTGGAATAATGTAAATGAACAATTACTTTAAACCATGTAAAATGGTTTAACGAATAAATTTGAAGTTGAATAAATAGTTATAAAACTAGGGAAATGTATGCAAAAAATTTGCAAAAGCTGAACTTAAAATATTAAATAGAATCGTATAGAAATCATTACTAAAATAAAAAATAAAAAAATCAATTCCACTTAGGGGCCCCTGTAGTGGCCCCGGGGCCCTAAGCAGCTGCTTAGTTTGCTGATGCCTTGGGCCGGCCCTGGGTCAGTTTGCGTGTCAGTAGCAGAGAGTCATCCTCAACATACTCTGTGTGAAGAGTTCTTATAAAATCTCACAATATCACATGAGCTCAGTGTCATTTCCACAGGTCAACACAAACAACTCTGTCCTTCCTCATCACAAGTCGTCACGGTGATGTCATTCCTTCAAGGAATGAACAGTGTATGCATGTTTTAATGGTTAATTATTTAATAACTGTAATCGTCTCTCTGACTGTGCAGTGAAAAAGTTATTTCTGTAAAACATCTGGTCCTGTATCTGAGAAAGGAGCCGTGCAGCTGTGTTTTCTTTTCAAACGGTGTTCGCTGTGATTTCTGCATTCGACCTCACCAGTCGCTTGAATTCGCTCTCGGTGAATCCCATGTATTTGTGCGCCACGTTGTAGTCGAGCTGCAGAGTCGAGTTAAAGATAAGAGGGTCGTCTGTGTTCAGGGAGTAGTTCGCCTTGTCCTGCATGAACCTGCACACAGTGAACAACGGAAGCAAAACTATAGTAAAAGAACAACGAGATGCTCAAACCGGATGTGACAGACGAGAGGCTCACTTGATGATGGGATGTTCACCGAAGTCCGAGTTGCAAGCACCAGTGAACTTACTGGAAACAGGACAGGTCTGCGGTCAGAAGAGCAGAGGCAGCAGTGAGTGACTGATAAATGATGCTCTCACTGAAGCACCGGAGTGTCCACTAGAGGACAGTACATCACCAACTCTACTCGTGTCTGTAACAACCAACCACTGCCTCTGCATAACCAACAGGAGCTGAAGATTTAAATTTCAGATTAGATAAAAGTTGAATTTTGACATAAATGTTCATGAGTGTGCGGGTGTTCACCTCAAAGTGCATGTTTTGATCCAGCAGCTGCTTGTACAGGGTGTGGTCCTCAAGTGTACTGTAGCCGTGACCAATACGCTCAGCTTTCAGCACTTCCACAGCCTTCAGTTGGTGGGGTGGGGGTGGGGGTGGGGGACACAATGTAAATTAAAATATTGTCAAAATGACAAAGTCTCACATCTGCAGAGTTTGCCTGCACGGCGCAAGCGGCCACTGTGACACTTTGTTTAGCAGACATGCTGAAATTTTGAGCAGAGCTTTGAAACAGCTGGAGTCACATTCACACAGTCATGAGTGTCAGTTTGATCTCAGGCTGTTGATGATTTATCTGAACTGCTCTTTTATTCAGAGTAGAAACACAGAACATAGCTCCAATAATTTGTAGGAACAATAACTTGGTCCACAAGATCAAATCTTGGGTGGATTTTCTCTTTTTAACGCTGAGACAAAATTACACAAACAGCCTAAAATATGAGCAGGAAAGAAGCCCTGCTCCAAAAGGGACACCTCTGCAGCTCCTCGTGGACAAATCAAATGTCTCCTATGAACAGAGACAAAGATGGAGTTATTTACGGTACTCACAAACACAAGAAGTACGTTTAGAGGAGTTAAGGAGAAGCTTTCAAACCTAAGAACGCTGGAACTACTGTCAGGCACGGTGGTGGTAACATCATGCTGTGTGGCTGGTGCTTTGAACTAAGGGGATGGAGTAATGAAGTAGAAGGTCTACCTCTAAATGTTTCAACTTTACCACTGAAACTATTGAAACTTTGTCTGAGCGAGATGGTCCAATGGGACACAGATTTTTCACTGGTTTCTAACTGGATAAAAGAAGCTACCATTAAGTGTCTGGAATGACCTTCTCAGAGCCACAACATAAACCTAAAGGAAACAGTAAATGTAAAACAAAGTAGTAAATATGGTGAGTATGTTTCAAAGTCTGTGGATTAGAGAAAACCATAAATAAATTCTAAATGCTGGACAAAGTTTTTGTTTTTAAGTCATCAAAGTTTTGTTGTATAATCATTCCAGCTTGGAAAATGAAAGGTTCAAATTAATTGATAAAAGCCTGAAATGAAAATGACATTCATGATGATATGAGCGCATGTAAACATCAGACTGCAGTTGTAATTTTTATTTTATTTTTTTAACTAGGTTCATTTTCTTTCTTTCACCTTTGACACAGTCGCTCTTACTCTCCCTCCCTTCTGCTGTTTTGCTCTCTTGTCCTGTCAACCTCAGAGCCTCTCTTTGCACATCTTCTGAATCAAACATTATCATGGATTTGGTCAGCTGGTCCCTCAACGTAATTGAAAAAAATGTTTCCACCAGACGACAAAGTGCAGGAGAGCCCTCATGCCCTGAACGGACCCACGCAGCTGAGTACGTCATTGATTCCTGGGGGGAGTGGACGATGTTGTGCCCATCTGTGATGTCCGTGGAGGACATGGAAGATGTGTACATTACTGGATTTATGACAACAGGGTTCTGCTTTGTGGAATCAGACACCTTGGATATAGATGAATCAGGAAGACATCTGCAGCAGTTTTGGTCATGGTAAAGCTGCCAGCCTTATGTGAAGGATTCATTTGTGCCTCGAGCTCTCTGGCTCATGTTTACTGAGCTCAACCACAAGCTGGACGCAATCTCTGAGAATCTTAGGCCACTTGTGGCTCCTGGAACTCGCCGACATGAAGGGTTCGATCTTGGAGAAAGCTAATCGAGCACGGACCAGATGGAATGTCCACAAATCTGTCAGTCTGGATTTGAAGGCAGACAGAAAACAGAGTCTGTCTGCACAAAACAATTGTTGTTTATCTGAATTTGGCCTCCCCACTGGCCTTGGACAGCTGATCTCAAATAGCTCCGATGATACGTAAACTAGAAGCCCCTGTTCTTACGCTCCCCTTCAGAAAACCAACACAAGCTCTCCCTGTTGTTTCAGGATCTTTGCCCACGTGTTGTTTGTGTTTGTTTACACACATCGTGGGGCCGTCAGGTTGTTGATGACACCAGCACCCCTCTGAGAAACGTCTCGTCGTCGAGCAGCTTACCTCCCGCACCACCGTGGCCGGGCCCACCTCCCCAGCATGGACCGTCCTGTGGATCCCACAGCGAACTGCCTCCTGTTAACATCCAGCAGAGAACACGTCAGCAAACAAAAAGAACAGCCAAACATCTGGTTTTCACATCTGCAGCACCAAATATTGAAGGTTACACCATCTTTTTGTTCTCACAGGAATGGCGTGTTGATTTGATTGATTGCAATGAGAAAACTCCAACATCCTGATGTTTATAGAAATGTCTGAAACATTCTCAGATTATCACCCGCTGCTAAAGGCAAAGGACAAGAATGTTTCTGCCTGTGTGTGTTTGTCTGTTAGCAAATTGTTTCATAAAGCACTGTCAATATTTTGATACAGTTTTAAGAAATCAGTCGTTGAGTGTACATCTACAACTGATTAACGTTTAGAGTCGACCCAGTTCTACATGGTCACCACAACCAACTGACATTAACACACATAAATAGCTATAGCTCAGGTAATTTGAGAGCTTTTGACCTTAAATTTGTTGTGGTTGTAACTGAGACTGATCCCCAACATTTATTCTGAGCGCTGACAGATCGTGTCAGAATATTTCTTTCAATTTTGCCGTTAACTAGTTGGAATCGAACCTTGTTGTTAGTAAAATCTCTCATGAACCACTGAACAGATTGTAATAAGATTTTCAGATTATAATCATTAGATGTACATTTAACTTTCAGATTAACGTTTGGAGTCAACTCAGTTCTACATGGTTACTGCAGCTAATCGACCGTAACATCTCAAAAAGTTTATCCTGTAACAGAAGGAGCTGCAGTTTGTGGTGGTAGTGGTTGAACGTCACTCAGAACACAAGAAACTACAAATTATCAAGACATTTTAAGAGCAGAGTGGATTTTGTGGCGCAGTACAAACTTGGTTAGATATAAAGATGGATGAATTTTAAAAAGTGGCTTTATTCACAGACAGCAGAGCCATGCACGTGGAGTGAGCTCATATAAAGCAGGACTGAAGTGCATCAGAACGTTTGTTCTGTGAGTGAAAATCTGAGATCTGCTTTCAAATGTACCTTTAATATGATTATTAAAGAATGGCTGAAGACTTAGATTAGGCCTGTTTGCAGTAGTACCTTTCCCACTCTCTTAGAAACACTTCATATGTGCTTAAACACTTTTAATAACATCAGTAACGTAACATGTACATACAACGCAATAAGATTAATAGCATCACTCGTAATTTAAACAACATATACAATTCTAAATGGGTACTCATCAGTGATGTATACTACAACTGTAGTACAACAGTACTGAGCATTACAGCTCTTCTGAAGGCACCACTTCATCAGGTGGTGCAGTATCTGTGGCCTCAGATCAAACTTCTGTTTCTGCTACAGGTGCAGGGGTAACTCATGCCTTCGTCCGAGTGAAGAACATGTTATGGGGACTTGCTCGCACTGCTTTTTCCTCTGAGTGAGAAGGTTTTTATAAACTGACAGGCCGCTCTCGATTGTATTTACCAAGGCATCCGGGGGCCCATTCTTCGGCCACTCACTGAAGTTCTTTGGCCATTCTGACCATGGCTGCAAGACCATCGAGTGTCAGGCCAACCTCCTCCTCCTCTCCAGCCCATAGTGGGTCTTGTTCAGCATGGCCTCCAGCATTGTCCATGAACAGAAGCACTTTGAAGTTGAGGTTTTTCTCTGCCAGATAAAGCTCAACATCCAGGACAAAGCACTGGTGGAATCAATCAGTCGTGAGGAGTTTTGTCATCCAGGCCTTGGAGTGGTGCATCCAGTACACAGGAAACACTATCTTATTTTTGTTTTTAGGGCCCTTGGGTTTTTTTGGCTTATAAATCAGTTACTCTATATTTTTGGGTCTTAAAACCAGGTGCTTTGGCTTCGTCCTTCATCATAAAAGTGCAACACAGCATCTGTTTCCAAAATAAGCCCGTCTCATCCATGTTAATGGCGGCCTACAGCCACGTAGCTTTTCCCTTCCTTTAACATGTCGAGAAGTTCCACCTTTTCTTTGAAGGCAAGCATCTTCCTCTGGCACTTGGGTTCAATGCCAGAAGATGCAGAAGGCACTAAACATTTAGGTGGCATTGAAGGGCTTGAAATAAATTCAAACTTTTAGGCAAATTTTACAAAAACACAACACTGCAGAGCAAAACTATGTGCAGCGATAAGACGTCGATGTGAAGTGGACAACGAGAGATGCTGAACATATGGCACAGCGCGGGAGAGCAAGCAGACCGATGCTAAGGTCACTGAGCCAATCGGTGCCCAACATACAGAACAGTGCCTTCCATTCCATCAGCCAATAGGGTGCCAGTAGTGGCATACACTATGTACATGTACATCCAAATACCGCAATATAATGAAAACTCTGCAATATACATATATATATATATATATATATATAAGTTTTCATTATATTGCGG